CTGTAGGAAAGCTGCAGATCATCTACCCAGACCTCAAAGTCAACTGCCCGATCCTCAGCGTCAAAGGTGAGAACGCTAGAGGAGGCCATAACAGCAGTAGACAGGCAGTGAGTACAGTGGGGCAGGGCAGTGCAGTGGTAGAGACTCTGCTCTTACCAGGCAGGTGGGGCGGTCGGGCGGCTCGGCGGCTCGGCGGTCGGGCGGCTCGGCTGCGGTGCGGCTTGGATGCTCGGCGGCTCGGCGGGTCGGCTGCTGGGCGGCTCGGCGGTCGGGCGGCTCGGCTGCTCGGGCGCTGGGCGGCTGAGCGGCGATGGGGCCGTGGAAGGGCGGCGACCGGCCGCTGAAAGGGCGGCGACGGGCCGCTGAAAGGGCGGCGACGGGCCGAGGGAAGGGCGGCGACGGGCCGCTGAAAGGGCGGCGACGGGGCCCGCTGAAGGGTGGGCGACGACGGGGCCGCTGAAAGGGCGGCGGCGGGGCCGCTGAAAGGGCGGGCGACGGGTCGCTGGAAGGGCGGCGACGGGCCGCTGAAAGGGCGGCGACGGGGCCCGCTGAAAGGGCGGGCGGCGACGAGGCCGCTGAAAGGGCGGCGGTGGGGACGCTGAAAGGGCGGCGGTGGGGCCGCTGTAAGGGCGGGCGACGGGGCTCGCTGAAGGGCGGTGACGGGGCCGCAAGAGGGCAGCGACGGGGCCGCTCGAGGGCGGTGTCAGGGCCGCGGAAGGGCGGGCGACGAAGCCGCTGTAAGGGCGGGCGGCGAGGTCGTGAGAGGGCGGCGACGGGGCCGTGGAAGGGCGGCGACGGGGCCGCTAAAAGGGCGGCGACGGGGCCGCTGAAAGGGCGGCCACGGGGTCGTAGGAAAGGGCGGCGACGAGGCCGCGTAAGAGGCGACGCGACGGGGCCGCAAAGGCGGCGTGACGGGGCCGAAAGGGCGGCGTGACGGGGCCGCAAGGGCGGCGCGACGGGGTCGAAAGGGGGCATGATGGACAGGGGCCAAGCGTGCTCCGGGCAGGAAAAAAAAAGTTGGTGGGCCCTAGGAACAGTTCCCACGAGGAAACCAGCTCTATACCATGTGAAGAATGAAACGAGAGAATGATTGAACTATGAAAGTGTTGGGTACAAGTACTAACCCTAATTGGGTTTTACCCCTTATGGGCTACCCCTTTACAGCCTACACAAATGTATAAGCTATAATGTTCTGACAGAGGCTTCAGTCAGCGGCAGGGAGTTGACTACTTTCAGACCTTCTCTCCCACCCCGAAGATGACCACTCTTTGGGTGCTGCTGCACATAGCCGCTTAGCGCGACTACGAGCTTCACTCTCTTGACTTCAGCACAGCGTTTCTGCAGGGCAGCCTGCACGAGGAGATCTGGCTACGCCGCCCACCTAGCTTCACTTGGTCGTTTGCTCCTGGTACCCAGTGGAGCCTCCGGCGGCCAGTCTATGGTCTCCGCCTGGCGCAATGTGAGTGGCACGACACACTGAGGACTACACTTGCGGCTCTTGGCTTTGCTCCTTCCACTGCCGACCCGTCGCTGTTTCTGGGCACCGACACCTCTTTGCCGCCGTTCTACATCCTCGTGTACGTTGACGACTTGGGCTTTGCCACTGCTGACACTGCTCGACTCGCCCACGTGAAGTTCGAGCTGGAGAAGAGACACACGTGCACAGACCTGGGTGAACTCCGCAGCTACCTTGGCTTGCAGATCGCCCTGACTCAGTCACACATGGTGCAGCAGGTCTTTCAGCGCTTCAACTTCACGTACTCCTCACCTCAGGCCACTCCTCTGTCTACTCGCCACTCGCTCTCAGCTCTGCCTTTGGATGAGTCCGTAGAGCCAAGTGGCCCGTATGCAGAGCTTGTTGGCTGCCTCATGTACCTGATGACTTGCTCACGACCTGACCTTGCATACCCTCTTAGCATCTTGGCACGCTATGTTGCTCCTGGGAGACACGGACCAGAGCACATGGCTGCAGCGAAGAGGGTGTTGCGCTACTTGTGCAGTACGTCGGCCATGGGGCTAGTGCTTGGAGGGCGACGTCGAGTAGTCCTCACAGGTCACGCAAACGCTTCTTGGGCTGACGACCAGGCTACGCAGCGGTCGTCACAGGGTTACACCTTCAGCCTTGGCTCCGGCTCTGTTTCGTGGCGGTCTACCCGCTCGTCTTCTGTTCTCGGCTCCAGCTATGAGGCTGAGATCTACGCGGGGGCCATGGCTGCACAGGAGCTACGCTGGCTCACCTACCTGCTGACTGACCTAGGAGAGCCGCCTCGTTCTCCTCCAGTTCTGTACGTAGACAACAAGGCCATGCTGGCCTTGTGTCGGGAGCACAGACTGGACCACAGAACGAAGCACATTGCTCTCCGCTACTTCCTTGCTCGTGAGCTGCAGCAGCGTGGTCAGCTGCGCCTTGCTTACGTGGCCTCTGAGGCCAACAGTGCTGATATCTTTACCAAGGCACTTCCGCCTAGTGATCATCAGCGCTTCTGTACTATTCTAGGTCTTGTGTGTACTTGGCCTCACTTGCTCACTTCTTGACCTTGCGTGTACTATGATCTTTCTATACCTGCACTTGCCTGTTTACCTTTATATATGATCTTGCATGTGAACTGGCCTTGTGGCCTTGCTCTTGTGCTCGGATTGTGTGGTGACATTGTGATCCACCCTGAGCTTGCCTTGCTTTGCTTGACTGGTCTTGTGACCTCTTATTCTCCCCCACTTTGCCTATGGGGGTGTGTCAAACTTATATCATATAGCTTGTCTAGGCTATAGTGGGGTAGACACTATGTGGTACAGTTTCCTAGGGTTTCCTACTTGTACCCAACCTTGTGCTAGTTCATTCATTCCTCATTTCTTCATAGTTTGTGCCTAAAACCTTCGTGCTCTAGCTGCCCAATGCTTCTACTCTGACAGACCAAATGCAGCCAACCGTACGCGACTCTTTGCGTCACTTCTGACCTTTCGATGTCGTGCTCGCTTTTGTTCTCTTCACTTGCTACTGATAGGAATGCCCTTCACTGACCTTTTGTTCTCTTCACTCGCATGCTTGTCCGTGATTCTGATCGTGCTCTGGTTGTCCCAGTGCATGCAAAAGGTCTGGATTTTTACCCCCTCTAAGAGCTCCCATAGATAGAGCCCTTCGCGAACTGCTGCTATTGGAGCGTTAATTTTTGCTTCCGCCGATGACATGGTAACCGGATCCTGTTATTTCGAGTTCCAGAAGATGGGGCTTGTTGGCTCGAGGCGAAACAGGAAATGTTCTGAACTGTCAATTGTGTGGGTCAGCAACGTAATCGGTGTCCACGTAGCCAATGAGGTTGAATGAGGGAGTTGTGACTGTGGAGTACCAGAGCCCAATGTTGGGTGTGGAGATGAAAAATTGCAGAGCGCGCTGAAGATCCAAGAGATTTTCAGCCGTTGGTTTGCGCGACTACTGAGCCAATTGGCTCGTAACGTAGGAGATCTAGCCTGCAAGGCACTAAGGCAAAGAGCTGAAATCGTAGCTACTGCTGGTAGGTGTGAAGGCCTGTGGGGTATTGGACTTTGTTGTCAGGTTTGTGGTTTGGTCCGAGCATGCGGTAGGGAGTGGAGAGTGGTGCAGGGGAGATGTTGAATTATTTTTTCAAGTGTTTCGGCGTACATAGCAGCTGAGAGGTGAATGGCTTCGGGGGCATAAGAGATATTAAGGCCCAGAATCTGCTTCACGTCTTCATCCGTGGTGATGTTCGTCTCGAATTGGTCGAGCAGTGTATTGCTCGTCCCTGTGTCGAGCAAATTCTCCACGTACACATTGATCAGGATGTAATCGCCACAGAAATGCACGCCTTACATCTCGGGGGTCCTGCGAAAGCTGCATAAATTCTATTTTCATGCAAGTGCTACTGCTAGAGCCTTGGTGCTTGCTCAATTCTGTTAAGGGATATTTTTAGTTCGATTTTTTCAGTTCATACATGCATGGATCTCCTTCCCTCAAGAATGTGGCCGTTCCACGACAATTACGGCATCCACTAGTGTGTACAGAAAGGCGTTCTTTACATCGATTTGCCAAAGCGGCAAATGCCTCGTTGCAACGATAGCAAGCAGAATCTGCACGGGGGTGTGACGACTGACCGGAACGAAGGTCTGGTCGAAGTCTATGACGTGCAGTTGGTTGTAGACGCACATGACCCAGCGTGCCTTGAATCGTTCGATGGTGCCGTCTACTACGGTCTTCACGCGGAAGACCCACTTGCCAAAGCCCTTCTTTTAATTTATGCGTCCATGGCTGCGCTCCACTCCTTGCTGTGCGGTCCCATCAGCGCCTGCCGTGGATTCTTAGGCTCAATGACGCGAGGACCCATGGAGGTATCGGTGTGAAGTCTTAGAAGTTGCAGTTTGGAGATGGTGCTGTCATGACAATGCTGCGAGACGACCTCCTATATGTTGTCGTCGTTGCTTTCTGGTTCAGGTGGAGACGACGACGCGGGGTTTGTGCTGCTTCCTCCGTAGGTCCTAGAGGTGACTCTTTGCTGTTGTTGTCATCGTTGTCGTTGCGACGATCGATGTCGGGAAATTCGTGTCACCGCATATGCAAGGGATGCATATGCAATAACAGTAGAGTGCGGTGCTGGGAAGTAGTATAGCAAATAGCTAAGAATGCATTGAGGTAGATAGATAAGAAGTAGTGTAGGAGGTGTAGCCAGTAGCGAAGTGTCGGTTGCAAAGGGGTGCAGAAAGGGGGAAATATGTGGGAGCGGTTGGGATGAAGGGGGAAAAGCACCGAAGGGCGAAATGTGGGATTCGAACAAATCCCAACCTCGAGCCGCACATTGGAAATGTGCAAGCCGAGGTTGGGTAAGGTCACCCACGCCCACTCACTCGATGCCTATTGTTCAGTATTCTTTCATACTAGTGCAGGGCTGTTATCCTAGCTACTACACGCGGTGGCACAGCACCAAGAAAGGAACCGGTGGGGTGAGGGAGTGATCACGTTCATACTGAACAATGGGCCGCGACACGCAGTCATGGATAAATATGAGCTACGTTGGGGTAGGGTGTTTAGTCGCCGGGAGGAGGAACGAGCACGAGGTGAGCCGTCACGCGAGCGCGGGCGATCTCTGGAGCGCTCGCCGCGAAGGCCGGCATTTCGCGCAGATAGAGTCCCCGTCGCTGGGGACCGACGGGCGGAAGGGAGGCCTAGCGTGGCAGCGGGTGGAGAAGGATACGCCGCAAGCACGGACGGAGACGTGTGGCGAAGAGGGCATGATCGCGGAGATGGATACGGGAGCGGAGACCGACGCGCCGTGGGAGTGTTCCGCTCGCCGGAAGAGCGCGGGCGCCGCCGTGATGAGAGGGGCCATTGGCAGGGCGTCGAGCGATTCGACGCCAACCAAGGAGGGGAGGCCGCAGAAAAGGAAGAAGCGTGGGAGACGTCCGGTGAGGAAGAGGCAGAGGAGGACGCAGCGAACCTGGAACGGGCGGTCGAAGACGCCAACGGAGAAGATGACGGCGAGGAACCCGCGGTTGGGCTCGGAAGCGCCGAGCCTGAAGAGGCGGACGTTGCCGGGGGCGCAAGCCAGGCAGGGGCGGAAGGATCGCGGTCGGGACGGTCGGAATCACGCGGACGCGACGCAAGCCGCCAGGAGGAGCATTACGCGGAGAGGTCGCGTCAGCAGGAGCGGCGGGACTGGGGCGTGCATGCCGGCGCTGTGGGGACGCAAGGAGAACGTGGCAAAAGGGAGGAAGAGGGACCGCGCGCGTCAAGGGAAGGATCGCGGCGCTGGGAGCGGCCTTCTGTTAACCCTCGCGCACTCGACTGGCGCCAGACACAAGGGGGCTGGGGCGAAGACGGCGCACGATCGCCGGACAGGCAGCTGATGCACAAGGGAGGATGGGAGGGCGAGCCACGCGCAGCCAGCCACCACTGGCGGCGGGAAGAAGGACGCGAGGAGGGGCCCAGCTCATCAGAGAGGCGCGGCCAGCGGCAAGAGGGGCGCGGCGGGGAGGCACGGACGTCTGGCCCGCAAGCGCAATGGGAGAGGAGGGTGAGTGGCGGATTCCGCTCGCCTCTCGTCCGGCAGCAGCGGGGAAGAGAAGGCGGCGGAGACAGGCGCTCGCCCGGAGATCGTCGGCAGCAAGGAAGGGGAGAAGCATGGGAACCGTCGCCAGAGAGGCAGCGGCAGCGAGAGACGAGCACGGCGAGGTGGAGAGAGACACGAGTCTCGCCGGCACGAACGCGAGGGCGTGTGGGGGAGGAGAGGGGCCCGAGAGAAAGGCACGGTGACTCGGGCTGGAACCGGCGGGAGAGCAGAGCTGGAGGGGGGAGCTTAGCATATGGCGCTGAGCGGGCCCGAGAGGCCAGGGAAGGCATGGAGAGGGCCAAGGAGAGAAGGACTGGGGAAGAGCGGCTGGGGAACAGGGTGGAAGGGCGGGGAAGTACAGCCAGCGCGACGCGGGTGGAAGTGCCGGCGAGGTTCTCGGGGGACCAACGGGTGGGGCCGGCCCTCAAGAATTACTTGATGCAGGTGGGGAACGTGAGATACCGCTGTGACAGGCAAGGCATGGACCCAGTAGACTTCTTCTTGAGCCTGCCCAATACACTGGAGGGAGAGGCGGAGACCCTGTACCGCATGAGGATGGACGAGCTGCTGTGGAGGGCAGGGAGGTACGGGGAGGATCCCACCGAGGCATTTCTGGAGCGGCTTCAGCGTCAATTTCCGGGACACACGGCGGAGCGCATAAGGGAGTTTCAGGAGTTCAGGAGGGGACGAACAGAATCCCTACTGACCTACTACAACCGACTGATAAACTTGGCGGAGGATGTGAAATGTTCGGACAGCAGCCTCCTCATCAGTAAGTTTCTTGGAGGCCTGGACGAAACACTGGGGGGGGGACTGAGGATGAGGGTGTACGAGTTGGGGGCGGATGCGGCACTAGAGGAGGTGTTTGACCTGGCGGAAAGGGTGGAGCTGGCACAAAGGAGGTATGAGGCCTACCTGCCGAGGCCGACAGAGAGGAGCCGCAGACCGACATGGGCGGCGGCTATGATACCAGAGGAGCGAGGGAGGGTGGACCCACACGGGGAAGAGAGAGCCGACGCGCGCACCTGCTACCGGTGTGGACAGATGGGGCACCTCCGCAGAGAGTGCAAAAACTGTGATGGATGTGGGAAGCCTGGGCACCGGAAACGAGAATGTCCGGATGCGGCGAAGTGTGAAATCTGCGGGAAGAAGGGGCACGAGGCCAAGGAGTGTTACCAGCGGGAGGGAGGGGCAAGGAGGAAACCAGAGGAGCTGCAGCGGCAGATCAGCAGGCTGCAGTCTCAACTGCAGGCCATGGGGTCAGGGTGGGGAGCGGAGGCGGGGATGTACGCTAGGGACGAGGAGGGAGAAGGGGTGGAGCCGGACGTGCAGTGTGCTCTCATGGCCTGGAGAGGCAGGGAACAGATGGGGCTGCGTAGCGGGGGGAAGGATGGCAGGCAGGAGCATAGCCGGAAGCCACGTGAGCAGGGGTCCAGGCCGGACGCGCCAGGAGGAGAGAAGACCCCAGCCCGCCACCCGCAGGAAAGACTCGCGTGCCAGGCCTCGGTGCTGCTCGTGGAAGCAGGAGCGGTGGAAGTGGGGGGGATGAAGGTAAAGACGGCGATCATTGACACAGGAGCACAGAGCGTGATGCTGGGTAAGGGGATGGCCGAACGGTTGGGGCTGATGGCCCCTGAGAGGCACGTGGCGAAGGGGATGTTAGTCATGACAGCAGAGGGAGGGGAACCAAAGTGGATGCCGTGCACACGGACCCCCATAGAGTTGACACTGCTGCCAGGAGGGGAGCATGAAACAAGGATCAGGATGAAGTGTGGAATCTCAGAGTCCGAGGACTTTGATCTGCTGATGGGGACGGAATTGGTGTTCGCTGTAGGCATGAGCATATGTACCTGGATGGAGAAGGTGGAGTTCCGAACGAGATACTGGAAGAAGGAGGGACCATTGGGGCAGCTGCCAGTGCAGTTTGTAAGGGTGGAGCCGAAGCGGGCCTATCAGGTCGGAGCAGGAGGGGCATAAAGGGGGCAGAGAGGAGCAGCAGAGACCAAGGAGGGGCCCTGGATGAAACTGATGGACAAGCCGGGGCAGCATAGCGATTGGCAGCAGCCCATCCGGCTAGTAGAGTTGTTCGGAGGAATCGGGGCAGGGCTGGCGGCAGCAGTGAGGAGTGGGATTGCAGTGCAGCAGTGGGTCTATGTGGAACTGGCACCACAGGTGAGAAGGATGGCTGAGCATCACGCGCGGAAGCTGAGAGCTGAGTTCCCGGACCTCCTGAGTGAGAAAGTAATTCAGGAAGTCATGAGCAGTACGGTGCACGATGTGAGTCAGATCACAGAGGAGCAGGTGGCCAGCTGGGGGCAGGTGGACCTGCTGGTGGCGGGATGGGAGTGTCAAGGGGTGTCATGGGCAGGAAAAGGGAAGGGAGGGGAGGACCCGAGGACGAAGCTGATGGACAACCTGTTCAATATCCTGGAGTGGCTGCAGGAGAGGCAGGGCAGAGTGGCTTACTTGCTAGAGAATCTGGATCTAGAAGGGGATTGTAGAGAGCCGATTCGACTGGTGAGGGAGAGGATTGGCCGGCACGTGGGAAAAGGGATGAGCTGTGATGCAGCCAGGGCAGGGTCGTACGCTCACCGCCTCAGGATGTACTGGCAAAACGTGGTTCCCGTGCTGGATCTGCAGGAGGAAGCAGAGGGGATGAGGAGGGCTACAGGGAGGAGGGTGGTGGACATCCTGGAGCCGGGACGGACTCCCGCGCCAGTTTGTCAAAGAAGTTACAGCAGGCACTACCCGTGCAACCAGGTGGGGCAGGACAGGAGGGCTCTGCCCACCTTGGTTGCTTTTGCAGAGGCAGCAGGCTACAGGTGGGAAAAGGGGGAGCCCGGACCCGGGCTGATATATGACCACAAGCGGGGACGGTGGGAGGAACCGACGGCATTAGAGAGGGAGCTGGCTATGGGATATGGAGAAAACGTGACGGCAGCACCAGGGGTGAGCGAGGAAGACAGGAGGAGGGCAATGGGGAATGCCATGGATGGCTACTTGATGAGGTGGCTGGTGCAGAGGATGTGGCGAGAGATGGTCTTGGGTGGGGGGCAAGAGGCAGATAAGGTGGCGGCAGCAGCAGCCCCACAAGGAGCATGGACCTGCCAGGAGGAGGAGGGAGAGAAGTGGACAGTGGGGGAAGCGATGAGTGAAGAGGGAAGGGAAGCTATGCTGGGACTGCTGGCCAAGCATAGGAAGTGCTTTGCCTTCACACTGCAAGAACTGGGAAGGTGCAAAATGAAGGAGATGGAGCTGAAACTGAGCAGCACAGAGCCGGTGTTCCAACGGCGTAGGAAGATGCCGCACGGAGATGAAGAGATATGCAAGGAGAAGATTAAGGAGCTGCTAGCGGCCGGACTGATCCGGCGCTCAGAAACAGAATACGCCACACCAACAGTGGTGGCAGCGAGGAAGGACTTAACAGGGGAGATCCTGAGCAGGAGGATGTGCGGAGATTACCGAGCGCTCAACAAGATTACCGTGGCGGACAGGTACCCAATGCCGATGGCGGAGGAGATATTTGACAAGTTAGCAGAGGGGGTGTTCTTTACGACGCTGGACCTGCGGCAGGGGTTCAATCAAATAAAAATCAGGGAGGAGGACGTTAGGAAGACGGCATTTCACGGGCCGGATGGGCTGTACGAGTGGCTTTACATGCCATTCGGGCTAAGGAACGCATCAGCAGTGTTTCAGAGAGTCATGGATGCAGTGCTGAGGGACGTAGAATGTGCAGCGTGCTACATAGATGACGTGGTGATCTTCAGCACCTCCGAACAGCAGCACCTGCAGGATGTGGAGAAGACACTAACAGCAATAGAAGCAGCGGGACTCACGTGTCACCCGAAGAAGTGTAGGTGGGGTGAGCAGACCGTTCAGTATCTGGGCTACGAGGTGACAGGGGGGCAGATCGGGATCCAGCAAGCAAAGGTGGAGGTGCTGGATAGGCTGCGAGAACCAAAGGACAAGACAGGGCTGAGAGCGGTGTTGGGGTTTCTGAGTTACTATCGGCGATTTGTGCCCAACTTCAGCAGGCGGGCAGCGGTGTTGAACGGGCTGTTAAGGGAGGACAAGACATGGGAGTGGGGGGAAGCGCAGAAGGGGGCATTGCAGGACCTGATGGCGGCGGTGAAAACAGCAACCGTCTTGCAGCTGCCAGCAGTGGACCAACCCTTCACCCTCTACACCGACTGGAGCAGCCAAGGGATGGGCGGGATACTTTGCCAGGAGGTGGAAGGGGATGAGAAGGTGGTGGCCTACGCGAGTAGGAGCTGCAACTCGGCGGAGGCACAGTACAGCTCGTACACAGGGGAGGGACTGGCGGCAATATGGGCTGTGGGGCACTTTAGGGTCTACTTGCAGGGGCGGGAGTTCACCCTGGTGACGGACCACCAGCCACTAACATGGCTGATGACTACACCAGGGTTAACAGGCAGGAATGCACGATGGGCAATGAAGCTGCAGGAGTATGACTTCAAAATCAAGCACAGGCCAGGAAAAACCTTGCAGCATGTGGACGGCCTCTCCCGTAACCCCCCACCGCTAGAGCCAATAGTGACCCTTGCGCTGCTGGCCAGACAAGTGGAGCTGAGCGGGGCCAGGAGGAGCAAGGGGCCGGCTGATATCTGGGAGGATGAGCAGGTTGTGAGATGGGTGAAGGGAGAGACAGGGGCAGACGAGGAGACGAGCGAGAGGGTGAGAGCAAGGGGGCACCACTACAGGTGGTACCAGCAGCAGTTGCAGATACAGACCGAGGGTGGGTGGAAGCTGGTGCCGGCCCCAGGTGACAGGGAAGCAGTGATAAAGGAGGTGCACTCAAAGCTGGGGCACTTCGGGCATGAGAGGACAGTGCAGTTGTTGAAGACGGGCTGGTGGTGGGAGGGAATGCGCAGGCAGGTGCAGAAGTGGGTGGAGGGATGTGAGGCCTGCCAAAGGAGCCGAGCAAACCTGACCCAAGCCAAGGCCGAGCTGCAGTCCCTGCCCATCCGCGGGTTAGGCTTCAGATGGTCCTTGGACCTGACGGGGGAACTGCCGCTGAGCCGGGGGGGGAAACGGTACATAGTGCTCATGGTGGAGCACGTGAGCAAGTGGCTGGAGGTGAGGGCTATCCCCAGCAAGAGCTCAAGACATGTGGCAGCAGCATTCAAGGAGCAAGTAATATGCAGATTTGGGGCGTGTGCAGAGGTGCTCACCGATCAAGGCA